CGGCCTGGATTGAGTTGAAACTGTATCCTCCTTGGTCCACCGTTCTGACTGGGTACCTGCACACATACAAGTCAATGCACACGACCAAGGGCCTGGGCGAGGTACCTGGACCTACAGTTCACTTTGACCTTTGAATTTCTTGCTGTGCGTGGTCACACAGCACCCGCAGCGGCCTGAGGCCGAGCAGCGCGTGGTCGCACTGCTCGCTGGGTCTGGGCTTGGGTTACAGCGCCCAGGCCGCTGCTGAACGCGGTTTACTGCAGGGATCACAGGGAAGGCTTTTTTTTTGTTGTTGTTGAAGAACAGTATGGATGTGGACAGCAATTTCGGTCTCTCTCTGGGTAGAAATTTCGGAGTTAGTAGTATCTGCTGCGTTATGTGCTCCTCCTCTCAGTGAGAAATTTCGGAGTTAATAATATCTGCTGCGTTATGTGCTGCTCCTCTCTAAAAGCCCTAATCGGGCCGCGCGAGACAGGAGGACCAAGTCGAGATGCAGTGGTGGACAAACAGAAAACGGGGGGAAAAAAAGGGCAGGACATGCGGTGGCTCCTTACATTCACGAAGAAGGTTTCGATCTCCTGCGCCTGCCAAGGAGCATTTGGAGGCACGCGAACGACAGGCAGGCAACGGTTGGCGCAAGTCATGTGGAGGTCACAGACTGTGCCCTTCATGACCACGTCTCACTCGTCTGATTCCATCCGGATTCGAACTCGGGTCTGCATTTCATGACTGCGTGGGTGTACCAACAGAGCTTCCTCCGCATTTCCTTTTCCACGTGTCCAAAGCTGTCGCCCCATGCTGCGCCATGTCGCTCCATGCCACACAGTACTGGCACGGGGAACAAAACCCCCGCTGGTGGGACTTGATCCCCAGAGTGCCCTTTGGGGCATCCATTAATCTTTTTTCTTTTTTTTTTAAAGCAAACGCATGCAACTCATATTGCAAAAGAAACATTTTTTGTTTAAAAAAAAAAAAAAAAAAAACAATTTGAGGCTGGGGACCTCACAATTCAACCCCGCAAAAGTTACTCAAGAGCCTTACTCAGCTCCTCTTTCAGAATCCATTCCTCTTATTCTATTCCTCCGCTCCCCCCTTCTACAACTACACCTATCTCCTGCTCCTTGCTTAAACCACCAGTACCTTTCCCATATGCCGGCCGCGGGCACTGTGCGCCGGCCCGAAAATCCAGACTGGCCGCCGATTCAATTTATCAGCGGCCGCCGTTCCGTTTCAGGCCAGCGCATTACCCGGCATGCCTCTCAAAAAATAGCTAGCTGGGAAAGGTACTGGTGGTTTACCTTACTACAGTACAGACAGGCCTCCTCTTTCAGAATCCATTCCCCTTATTATATTCCTACTCTCTCCCCTTCTAAAACAGCTAAACCTATCTCCTGCTACTTGCTTAACCTACTACACACAGGCCTCAACTCGGCCCGCACGCAGACCACCGCCGGTTGGACCCTTTGCCTGGTTCCCCAGTGGCTTGGCACTCTCCACCCTCCACCCCGTTTTGTCTACTTACTTGCCAAAGCTCCCAGTGATCCAAAAATAGGCCATGGACTTGTACATTAAACTAAATGATAAGGATGCTTTGAAGAACTCAGACTCATTGCTTCGCTCCTGTTTGCTTTTCAGTCTAATTTATTAGGGCACACTCACACTAGGCCCTCAAAGTCCTTCGGGACATCCGTTAAAATTGGAACGATACAGAGAAGATTAGCATGGCCCCTGCGCAAGGATGACTAGGCCCTCAAAATCGCAAAATCCCAAAATGAGCGGCCAGATCTAGTCCCTCCTATGCAAGGACTCGATCTGGCCATTCATTTTGCAATTTTGCGAGTTTGGGCCTAGCGTGAATAATATGCTCTTAGACACCCAAGACCCATAATCATTGAAAGAAGAGACAGCTTTTGCCGTCACATATGACCAAGGGGAACCGAGTGCCCTACCTTCTTCCCCCAAATACAACGTATGGTCATTATAGCTATATTTAGACTGAAAGATACCCCAAATACGGCTATGATGACCGTACTTCGTATTCGGGGGAAGAAGGTAGTTCTCACCAAAACCAACCTCCCTTCTCCCCCGAACTCTCAGGTACTCCTACTCTATCATACATACGCTGCCCCTACCGACTCTTCTGGTTCCAACAGCCATGGTACCAGGACCATCCTTTGTTCCTGTCCTATGCATGCAAACCCAGCCCCTTTTTTTGCCCACGCTTTCTTGAACCGTTCCACACCGTTCTGCCTTCCTCTCCTGTCCCCTTTTCGACGCCAGTCTGTTCTATATTCTCATTTGCTAGCGGAAGTGTCTGAACCAAGCCATTGCTTGTTTCTCTAACATTTCCTCCCTGTTGAACCTTCTTGCGTTTCTGCCCTTCCTTATGAGCCAGATCATAATTGCCCTTGCTACCTGTGCCACATATCCCCAGACCTCCTCTGTCGAGTACTCATCTGCCATCGCCCCCGTCACTGCCGCCAGTACCCATCTCTCATCTGCAAATTTGTTCCTCTCGTTGATTTCTTTCCAGTGGATCAGTCAGCAAATTTGTTCCTCTCTCTCTCTCTCTCTCTCTCTCTCTCTCTCTCTCTCTCTCTCCACACACACATCCAGCTCCATTTCTTTCCAGTGGGATTTCCCGAGGTCCCACCATTTCCACCATTTTGGGGGGACCTCGGGCAATCCCACCACAGATCCATAATTGGAACCATACAGAAAAGATTACCATGAAGAAAAAAGGGATAATTTTGGACGTGCCCCTGAAAGTTCAAGTTATTTGCAGTGTGCCCCTCTGACGGCCAACTTACCCTGCCGCGCCCCTCTGACCACGATTGGGAGTTTCCGAAAAACCCCTGGTGTCATTTGGGCCTGAAATATGTTCAATATGCCCCTACCCATACCAGTTCCAAATTTCCAGTATGCCCCAGTAGCTCCCCTCCCAGGGTCAGGGGAACGGCCGGT